AGGCATGCCCGCTGGGGGGGGAGGGGGGTCAGGGCGAGGGGTCGCAGGTGTTCCGGTCGTTCTGCCATTCAGTCAATTTGCATATTACCCTTTTATAGAATGGTTGTTAGTTAATAAACAAGCTGCTTCTTTGACCATGTATTATAAAAATGTAATTAACCCTTTGTGGTCCAATGTTATTTTTGGAATTCAAACAGTCTGGTCCAAATTAATTGACGGGACTGAATGTTGAACTTTTTAATGTTCCTATTGCTTGACATTGGACCTGCTCCTAGCACCTGGTTTGTCGAGTCAGCCTCGAGGTTGGACCGAAAAGGGTTAATCTTCCTTTTTAATAAAAGCAGTTAGCTGAAAATACTAAGTCATTTGTTAATGTAACTGTTAGATGTCTTATTTGAATTTGCTATAGTGTGGAAAAAGAGCAGGAAAACATTTACTAATATGAGATTAATATTTTAGGAAGACTTCAATAATGTGTCCACCACTGTGCTAAGTGCTTATCATTCAATTTTTACGACCTCAATATTTATTAAAACTTCCCACAGTAATTGGTAGTATCTTTTTACAAATAAGGAATACAAACGTTCTAAGATCACTCAGTTATAAATGGTAGTAGACACACACTCGTTCTACACTAGACAAGACCTCCCTAACTAGAGCCATCTGCTTCTCCAGAATCCACCAGAAACCTTCTCCTCAGACCAGACCAGTATTATAGTTAATAGTATTAAATTTGTATACCTCCCAATAAATAACATTTAAAACAAAGATATAACATTTATAACCTAAAATATTTACTTATTAACAGATTTCCATTTCTTTACTATTCACATATTAATTTTTTCTAATAAAGTTCCAGATTCTAAATTAGAATGACGTCTGTTAGAAAAATATACATAAAACTCTGGAGTGAAATTACTATGAATTTTGCAGACAAATATACTAGTAGATAAAAAGGATACTCACATCTTTAAAATAACGCTGTAATAATGAAAGCCTCACATCATGAACTGCTGCACATGTATCCCAAGGATAAATCTGTTCCTCTTCAGTGATAGGCAACTTTTTTGGCTCAGTGTTGTCACGGCACTGCCCCAAAACTATATTAACAACAGAGATAAGAGCTCATTAAATAACCAATATATAGACCTGATTCACCATAAGAGCCAAGTTATTTACAACCAGCTGACTAATGTTTCCACTTATTAGACCCTAAAAAAAAAGTGATATTCTAGTGTTCTTCTAGAGAGTAAATAAAACTCCAAAGATGCCAATATTTAATTTTCAAATTAACAGTAAAATATGGGTGTTTACTCGGGATGGATGAATGGACTAATGGATTGATCGAAGGATCAATAGATGAATGGATTAATGGAGGATGGTTTCCAAAGTCTGTCCATTGAAAAAGTCTAGAAATTATGACACTCCAGTAACAAATAAACTTTATTTCTAAATACACTATCTCTCATGAAAAGGAAACAGAGACCCTCAGAGAAAAACCTGAGTCCAAGATTGGGAAAAAGTTCAAGAAAAATCTGGAATTTTGTATAATAAAGAGCAAGGGGTAGCCCTGGCTGAGCAGCTCAGTTGGCTGGAGTGTCATCCCGTACACCAAAAGATTGCAAGTTAGATTCCCAGTCAGGGCACATACCTAATCTGTGGGTTCAATCCCTGATCGGGGCACATATGTGAGGTAAATAACTGATGTTTCTCTCTCTCTCTTTCTTTCTCTCTCTCTCTCTCTCTCTCTCTCTCTCTCTTAAATCAATGAAAACATATCCTCAGGTGAGGATTAAAAAAAAAAAAAGATCGAGGGGCAATTCAAACACTGAGGGGGCAGTCATGAGGATCTAAAGGAGTTCTGACTGGTCAAATTTGAGAAAATCTAAGTACTAAAAAAAATAATAATGGAAACAGATAACACATTCATTGATTCAGATGAGAAATCAAGTAAAAGGGTAAATTACTAGAGGCTCATCATATAAATTACCTACCACCTTAACCAAGTGATCAAACTTCACTGGCATCACCAATAATAGGACAAGCTGTCACTATGAGCCTCATTCTACAGAACTGACTTAGACTCATCAAAACTTTTTAAAGGTCTGGAGAAACTGTCCTAGATTAAAGGAGACTAACAGGAAATGACAATGAAATGCAATGCATAATCTTGGCTCTTGGATCAAGAAAAAGACTTTGCTCTAAAAATATTACTGGGATATTTGAGAGAATTTTAACATAGAATATTAGATGTTATTAATAACAAATTTCTTGGATATGATTATACTGTAGTTATAGTAAAAATATCCTTGTTCTTAGGAGATACTGTCTGAAGTATTTAGGAATAAAATGTCATGATGTCTGCCATTTTCTTCTGAAGAGAGAGAGAGAAAAAGAGAGTAAATAAGAGAGGGGGAAGAAGACAATATTGGTGAGTGTACGTAAAAGGTATCCAACTTTTCAAAAGATATAAAACTTTTCTTTTTTTTTTTATTCTTTTTTAAAAAAATATTATAATAGGTATTACAAAGGGTATTACATATGTGTCCTTCCCCCCTGCCCCGCCCTTGACAATCCCCTGCCCTCCCTTACCCCCCAGTGTCTTATGTCCATTAGTTATGCTTATATGCATGCATACGAGTCCTTCGGTTGATCTCTTACTCCCCTCCCTTCTGCCCCCTAACCCTCTCTGGCCTTCCCACTGCAGTTTGACAATCAGTTTGAGGCAGCTCTGCCTCTGTATCTATTATTGCTCAAAAGTTTGTAATGGTCTTTATTATCCATGAATGAGTGAGATCATGTGGTATTTTTCCTTCATTGACTGGCTTATTTCACTTAGCATAATGCTCTCCAGTTCCATCCATGCTGTTGCAAATGGTAAGAGTTCCTTCTTTTTTACAGCAGCATAGTATTCCATCGTGTAGATGTACCACAGTTTTCTAATCCATTCATCTACTGATGGGCACTTAGGCTGTTTCCAAATCTTAGCTATGGTGAATTGTGCTGCTATGAACATAGGGGTGCATAGATCCTTTCTGATTGGTGTTTCTGGTTTCTTGGGATATATTCCTAGAAGTGGGATCACAGGGTCAAATGGGAGTTCCATGTTTTGTTTTTTGAGGAAACTCCATACTGTCTTCCATAGTGGCTGCACCAGTCTGCATTCCCACCAGCAGTGCACAAGTGTTCCTTTTTCTCCACATCCTCTCCAGCACTTGTCGTTTGTTGATTTGTTGATGATAGCCAGTCTGACAGGTGTGAGATGGTACCTCATTGTTGTTTTGATTTGCATCTCTCGGATGATTAGCGACTTTGAGCATGTTTTCATATGTCTCTTGGCTTTCTGAATGTCCTCTTTTAAAAGGTGTCTATTTAGGTCCTTTGCCCATTTTTTGATTGGATTGTTTATCTTCCTTTTGTTAAGTTGTATGAGTTCCCTATAAATGTTGGAGATTAGGCCCTTATCAGATATAATGTTGGCAAATATGTTCTCCCATGTAGTGGGCTTTCTTGTTGTTTTGTTGATGGTTTCTTTTGCTGTGCAGAAACTTTTTATTTTGATGTAGTCCCATTTGTTTATTTTCTCTTTAGTTTCCAATGCCCTAGGATCTGTATCGGTGAAGAAATTGCTTCGGCATAGGTCTGAGATTTTGTTGCCTTTGGATTCTTCTAGTATTTTTATGGTTTCCGGTCGTATATTTAAGTCCTTTATCCATTTTGAGTTTATTTTTGTGTATGGTGTAAGTTGGTGGTCTAGTTTCATTTTCTTGCATGTATCTGTCCAATTTTCCCAGCACCATTTATTGAAGAGACTGTCTTGACTCCATTGTATGTTCTTGCCTCCTTTGTCAAATATTAATTGAGCGTATTGGTTGGGGCTGATTTCTGGGCTCTCTATTCTATTCCATTGATCTATATGTCTGTTCTTGTGCCAGTACCAGGCAGTTTTGAGAACAGTGGCTTTGTAATACAGCTTGATATCTGGTATTGAGATCCCACCTACTTTCTTCTTTCTCAGGATCGCTGCAGCTATTCGGGGTCGTTTTTTGTTCCAGATGAATTTTTGGAGAGTTCGTTCTAGGTCTGTGAAATATGCCGTTGGTATTTTAATGGGAAGTGCGTTGAATTTATAGATTGCTTTGGGCAGTATGGACATTTTAATGATGTTGATTCTACCAATCCAAGAACATGGTATGTTCTTCCATCTCTTTATGTCTTCCTCTATCTCTTTTTTCAACGTCCTGTAGTTTTCTGAGTAGAGGTCTTTTACCTCTTTAGTTAAGTTTATTCCTAGGTAGCTTAATTTTTTTGGTGAGATGGTAAATGGGATTGCTTTTTTAGTCTCTCTTTCTGCAAGTTCACTATTGGTGTATAGAAATGCCATAGATTTCTTGGCGTTAATTCTGTATCCTGCTACATTGCCGAATTCTTTTATTAAGTCTAATAGTTTTTTGATGGAGTCTTTAGGGTTTTTTAAGTATAATATCATGTCATCTGCAAATAAGGACAGTTTTACTTCCTCTTTTCCAATTTGGATGCCTTTTATTTCTTCTTCTTGTCTAATTGCAATGGCTAATACTTCCAGTACTATGTCGAACAGGAGTGGTGAGAGTGGGCATCCCTGTCTTGTTCCTGTTTTTAGGGGAAATGGTGTTAGTTTTTGTCCATTGAGTATGATGTTGGCTGTGGGTTTGTCATATATGGCTTTTATTATGTTGAGGTATGATCCTTCTATTCCCACCTTGCTGAGAGTTTTTATCAAAAATGGGTGTTGAATTTTGTCAAATGCTTTTTCTGCATCAATTGATATGACTATGTGGTTTTTTTCCTTCAATTTGTTTATGTGATGTATCACGTTGATTGATTTGCGGATATTGTACCATCCTTGCATCCCTGGGATAAATCCTACTTGGTCATGGTGTATGATCTTTCTGATGTACTGCTGGATCCGATTTGCTAAGATTTTGTTGAGGATTTTGGCATCTATGTTCATGAGGGATATTGGCCTGTAATTCTCTTTCATTGTGTTGTCTTTACCTGGTTTTGGTATTAGGGTGATGCTGGCTTCATAGAATGAGCTTGGAAGTGTTCCTTCCTCTTGGATTTTTTGTAGTAGTCTGAGGAGGATAGGTTTTAGTTCTTCCTTGAATGTTTGGTAAAACTCCCCTGTGAAGCCGTCTGGTCCTGGGCTTTTGTTTGCTGGAAGCTTTCTGATGACTGCTTCAATTTCTTCCATAGTTATTGGCCTGTTGAGATTTTTAGATTCTTCCTGATTAAGTTTTGGAATGTTGTATTTTTCTAGAAATATGTCCATTTCCTCCAGGTTGTCTAGTTTGTTGGAGTAGAGTTGTTCATAGTATTTTTTAACAATCATTTGTATTTCTGTGGGGTCTGTTGTTATTTCGCCTCTATCATTTCTGATTTGGTTTATTTGGGTCCTCTCTCTTTGCTTTTTGGTGAGCCTGGCTAGAGGTTTGTCGATCTTGTTTATCCTTTCAAAGAACCAGCTCTTGGTTTCATTGATTTTCTGTATTGTTTTTTTGGTCTCTATGTCATTTATTTCTGCTCTAATCTTTATTATCTCCTTCCTTCTGCTCACTCTGGGCTTTTCTTGTTGCTCTCTTTCTAATTCTTTGAGCTGTAGATTTAGATGATTTACTACCATTTTTTCTTGTTTGTTGAGGTAGGCCTGTAGAGCTATAAACTTCCCTCTCAGGACTGCTTTCATTGTGTCCCAAAGGTTTTGGATTGTTGTGTTTTCATTGTCATTAGTTTCCAGGATGTTTTTAATTTCTTCTTTGATCTCATTGGTAACCCAATCAATATTTAATAACATGCTATTCAGCTTCCAAGTGTTTGAGTATTTTGGGTTGTTTTTATTGTAGTTTATTTCTAATATTATGCCCTTGTGGTCTGAGAAGATGCTTGGTATGATTTCAATCTTCTTGAATTTGGGGAGACTTTGTTTGTGACCCAATATGTGGTCTATTTTTGAAGATGTCCCATGAGCACTTGAGAAGAACGTATATTTTGTTGCTTTGGGGTGAAGTGTTCTGAAGATGTCAATTAAGTCCATCTGATCTAGTGAGTCATTTAGGAT